CAAATAATTTTGATATATTCTGTTTTTAATTTTAAATTTAAACCGAATATCCTCATATTATTTAAACATTTTATAGTAAGGTTTCTAATATATTACATTGATTGCATTAAGAATATATATTACCACAAATAATTTTGATATATTCTGTTTTTAATTATAAATTTAAACCGCATATCCTCATATTATTTAAACATTTTATAGTAAGGTTTCTAATATATTACATCGATTACATTAAGAATATATATTACCACAAATAATTTTGATATATTCTGTTTTTAATTTTAAATTTAAACCGAATGTCCTCATATTACTTAAATATTTTATAGAACACACACACCTTTTTTCTGATATATTGGCAAAGTAGATAAAGAAAAGAAACTGAGAGTTACTCGAAAAATTGTGTATAAATTTTTCTGGATTATTCCAATAATATTTAAAATTTTGTGTAATGAGGTGAAAATATCACGCAGTACAAAAATGAAAAGCATTAATGCTACATAATGGCGCGTGAATATTTTCCCCACCAGGTCTAGTTATTTTGCCCACCCGGTCCCTACTCACCACGATATTTGCTAAAGTAAGAGCACTTTCTGAGAAATTTCGTTGTCTGTTTTGGTTTTTTGACATTAAAAATCCGTTACGAGAAAATGCGCCAAAGTTGCAATTAAGTGCACAAATACCACATTAGTAAAAGAAAAATAAGGCGGAATTTGTTTTCATTTACTAAAACATTAAAAAAGGTAATTATTTCAGAAAAATATATCATCTATACATTTTTCCAAAGGATTATCGAAGGTAAGTTATTAATTAAAAATAATTTATTGTTGTAGAAAAAAGTGAAAACATAAATGTATTAACACATTAGAAACTTTATATGTGTGCCTAATTAGTGTATATAATAAATAACCAATTAAGTTGTGCATGTTATACGATGTTCACATTACGAACTTTAGTGAACGAACTTTGCTAAAGTTGATTCAGCGTTTACATTATCGTTTCAGATTTTCATTTTGACAGTTGTTGTTTTTGTTATCTTTTGTTTACAATTGTATACATTTTGATATTTGTGAATATTGTGTTCGTTTATTATATATTTAGATGAAAATTATAGATCAAAATATAATTACATTGCTCTGCAGTGAATTTGCACAACAAAATGAAATTCTCAATAGATTAAATTACATACGAATAAAGCGCCGAAAAATAATTGCCAAAATATTGCAATTAATAGCGGCAAATGAATATAGAACACCAAGAAATGTTTGGATTTCATTAAAAATTTTTTTTGAATATGTTGATATAACTATCAAATATTTTTACGGTAAGTTTTGGGAACTTGATGTTCCCAGTAACAGTGCAAATTTTTTTAAGGAAAGCTTCCGTATGAATCGCCAATGCCAATCGCCAATGGCGATTCCGTATGAATCGCCAATGCTAAACCTCTTGGTTTAGTTTTCATTTAGTTGTGTTTGTGCTCACAAACCGTGCGGTAATTCATATATAGTATAACATGTGTTTATATCGTTTTAACACTTTACTTTCGTGTGCAATATTTTTAATGAGTACATTGTGTATTGTTTTATATATTTAATAATATGGTGCTTTGGTTTTTATAATACTTAATAATAATTCAATATTCAAGCCCCAAAATTTTAGTAATTTAATTATTAGAATGTTGATAGACAAGTGAATATAATAAATAATTTAGTGTAATAAATAATTTAGTGATATAGGATCCAGTAATTCACAGCCAGATATTAGGTGAATACACAATAATAACCTGATATATTGGATGGGCAAATCCACACCCACATATTTATCAAGGTAAGCAAATGAATCACTTTAAATTTTCAAAAACATGTTACTATAACAATGTTGTTAATACCTTTATATACATATGACTTGACGACACTTTATACCATTAATTTTTCATATATGTGTATTAATATACACCTATATCAGTTATCCATTCTGATGAGTCCGGTTGGTAACCGGACGAAACGCGTTAATGGAAACCAAGACTTATTTCTATTGGTTATTTAACCAATTTACAAAGGTTATAATGACGACTTTATAACCATATAATGACAGGTTATATATAAAATAACCTACGACAGTATAATACCAAAGACTGACCAATTATTCTCTCAATATTTTATCCAATTTATCTATTATTATTAAATTATTTTTGAATAAATTAAATTTATTTCTATAAATATATTAACCTTTTTAAAAATGATGCCTATTTTTGCTACATATTTGAAAAAGGTTGCAATAACCCCTAATTTTGTTCACATTTGGTTTATATTAATACATATGTTATTCTCTATTCAATTAAAACCCAATATAATTAGATGTCTAATAGTGGATTCTATTTAGTTTATTTTGAAGCAATAATAAACATGGAATAGGATTACCTCAAGATGAGGAACAGAATAATTTTTAGCAATATAAAGAATATTTAGAGATAATTTATAGTTTGAAACAAAATTGAAAAGAGATTTAAGGCAATAATGACTACATACACAGATATAACTATCAAAATATAGATAATAGAAAGATTTTATCCTTGTAAATAGAACATGTTTTTATAGATGTTGAATTACTATAAATGTATAGGTATCTCAATACAGCAATTTATGATTTATCACATTATATACATTGTAATATATACATAATTTTTGATTTATTATAACAGCATAACTTAAGTTAAGTATTTTTGAAATAGCTTTTGATATAAGGGGGTATTGTTGTTTTAAAAATCCATCAATAGATTAACTGTTTTTAAGGTTATGTATATAAACAAAGCAAAGCGGAGCTTACTGCCCCAGAAACAGTCTCTGGCTGTTTGTCTGAAGACATTGTTTAAGGCTATCTTTTATTAAAAGAAAGTATTAAATAATGTAAGGGTAACAATGCTAGTACCCAATATATAAAAATCATGATATGCAACAAAGTTGAAGGTTTTGAGCGAAGTACCACCAGCTTTAGACAGTGTATATCACTGGAG